AACTTCATAGTCCTACACACAAACTGTGCATATGTTTGTTGTCTGTTATGGCTACTTCCAAGGAACTTTCTGATTGAACTGCTAATGCATGAGGATGCCTGTCATATTTAAAACATTTAATTGTGAGGTAATGTGAATAGAAATATTGTAATTAACATCATCAACATCACCATATTAGCTTAGCACCAAGCCAATGTGCAAAATCTTATGTGCAGCTAATGGTGTACTAGTGAAAGAACAGCCATTGTTAACAGGAACCAATATGATCTTCTTCGGAAGTTTTTTCTGAAAAGAAGCCCAAGGCCTTGAAAAACTGGTTTCAGGCTTTTTGTGTGCTGTCTCTATCTCAATCTCTTTAACGTTTCATTCTGTATTCTTCCTTGTCATGTCCTTATTCTCTCACTCTCCTTAACCATGTGGCTGAGCCATGTTGGGGACCATCACTGGGGAGATTCTTTCCACAATTAACTTAGTCCCCTCTCTACTGGCTCACACTAGAGCATTCCTGTCCCCTGGCAGGACATTCTCACAGTGCCCTTGCAGACAGACAGCAATGTGGGATGGTTCACATTAAGTATCAGTGAAGATGGCAGAGGTGGAGTGAGTGTTTTCTCTCACTGTCTCTTGGGAGTCTAACATCAGACTGAGCCCTACCATTCCTGTCATGTCCTGTCCAAGTCTACGACCAGCAGCACAAATGGAGGCGTGTGTCTGCTGAGCCACAAGCTCAGTGTACAGGAATCCATCATGTTCAGCTCTGTTGGTAACCTGAGCAGACCTTGAGGATACTCGTGAGCCAGCAACTGCCTCATGAATTCAGACTTCATCAATCCCAAATGTCAAAGAGATTGAGGACCAATGTAGGTTGACTTTTGGCCTTTGATTCTCAGCAGCACGCTGCTGGTGGTAGCGGAGCGTGTGTTGCATATTATAGCAGTAGATGTGGGTAAAAAGACCTCTGTGAAATTTACTAAGTCAGTAAAAGTCACAACCACATCCAGAGCATCCTCTGATGAAAGGGAATTTCCTCTGCAACTAAATAAGGAGCAGACAACGTACATTGGATGCTTACCCAGGGAAAAATAAATGACTAATTCCTACTACATTATATCATAGTTTAGAGACAAATCAATGTTAAATCAAATCAGTCACTTAGGCTGTATGTTAGATAACCAAACAGCAATGTGAATTCACTAAATTACTACAGGACCATTGTTTTCTATGGTCCTGTTCAGGTGAAGAAGCACAGGTGAAGAAGCACAGCTCTACCCACAGACCCATAACATATTGATGAAACTTGTCATGCTTTGTGTCAATACACTATCAAGAAAATTAACTGCCTCCACTGTGAGCTGTAGATTTGGTGTGAGGTGTGCTTCCGTGTGCTTCCGTGTGCTTCTGTGTGCTTGTTTCATCAGTAACTAAAGACAAATTCCCCTTTAAATCATCAGTAAACTTTTCCTGACAACCCTGTTGTCTTGGTGTCTAGTCCCTGCTTTATCAGCACCACATTTAGCAAGTTTTGTCAATTATAATAGCATTTCTGAAGAAAAAGTGAAGAAAGTGAGTAGAGTAAGAAGAAAGAAGGCAAAAATGTGCGGATACAGTATATGATTTCCATCATACTCTAAAGATTACACCAATGGCTCAGCTTCTATTGCACTTTTCACTACTGTGCAACACAGTAGATTTGTCCAGTTCTCTGTTCACTTGAGTGTACTAGGTGTGAGCTAGGTACACACCCAAACATGTCTCATCCAATGAGGTAATATTTAAAAGAGTATTGGATTTATTTATTTATTTGAAAAGAACAGCAATCCTGTTTTTTAGCAAGCATAACTAAAATAACCTTGGCATTCTTGTGCACATTTCCTCATCAAAGCTGAAATGTTCTACCCAGTTTACTGGAACACACCTAAAAAGCCTTAAGTCTTACAGAAAGTTAGCAAGGGCTTGTGTATGTAGGAAGTAAATTAATATTTCTTTCTTTTTTAGGTACTAATCTGGAAAAAAAACCGAAATCTATTTGATGTACCAGATCTTGGCCTCAAATCGTGTGTTTGACAACTTTAAGAGCTACAGGTTGGCTTTTTTCCACACTGTCTTAACACATCCAAGTGAATCGTGAATGTATGTTACTCACCTTTAATTAGCCGTTCTGTGGTGGGCTGCTTCTCTTGCTTGTCTTTGTCCTTTCCTGACATCTTTCTCGTTATTCCTCCGGAGACTAAAAACCAACTGTTAAAATCTCATTCACTTGATCCAGCTTTTGCCTGAACAGCAGCTAACACCTGAGAGCGACCGCCAGCCCTGCCCTGGCTCCCTGATGTTTGTATTTGAAGGAGGCACGACTTCCACTGACAACGTCTGATTTTATCTTATCCCCCCCTCCAACCCAGGTGAATCCACAAACTCCAAGATAAGATTCTGAGGACCCAGTAAAGGTCTTGTTGTTGCATTAATAGGCTGATTAACTAAAGCTATTTTACAGCACCATTGAGGCGAGCAAACATCTAAACACAGAGAGAAATTGTTGACACTTTTGTGAAAATAAATAAATAAATAAAAAACCCAAAGCGAAGCGTTTGCTGAGCGCTTAGTTGCCAACTAGAGCGAATAATGCCTGGATGTTAACTGCTCTTAGCAACTAATCCGATTTACTTGCTTTTCAGCTAGTTAGCCAGCTAATATCCTCAAAAAGACCTAAATACTGAGGTTTCATGTTCAATAATACAACAGATAAAACTCAAAAAACAAAAACAAAAACAAAATAATAATGCGAACGAAGGAGAAAAGGCAAAGCTTGTGGCTGCCCAAAACGTTAAAAAACGCCCCCCAAAAAACTAAAAAGAAGAAAGATTTCGTTTCAAGATGCAGAGCGCTTCTACCTGGGATTATAAACTCTAATCTGACAGGGAGTGAGTGAGGAGCAGCTGTGGGTTTTCAACAACATGGTGGAGCTGATGTGACGTAACTATGGAAACGTAACACGTGGGTAAGGGGTGTGTTCATGGACACGAGTGGATTCACGGTGAAAGCCTGTCCTCTTATGGTAAAAATTGGGTATTGTTATTTGAGTTGACCGATTAACTACTGGTTGCACTTACCAGACAGGGAGAAACTAGCAAATTGGGAACAAAGGTTAGCTAAAACGAAAATAAAAGTTCCTCCAAAATAACTAAATGTTAGCAAGGGGGATTTGTCAAAGTAAACAGATTTAGCTAAATAATCGGTAAAAATGTCTAGAAATTTGACTTAAAAAGTATAACTTGGTGTGCATTAGGTGAGTGCTAAAGACTGCTAGGACAATAGCTTAATAACTGCACTGACGATTTTAATAGTAAGAGATTGACTTAGGGCGGGCATACACTGTACGATTTTAGCCCGTTTTTGACCCGTTTTTTGAGACGCACGACCTGGCGACACCCGGCCCGATTTCCCGTTTCGTCGGGCGTCTTTTTCCGTACAGTGTACAGGGGGTAACGAGGGCCGATTATCTGTTCCCAAACCACCGTCGGACGATCGGCAGATTTCTGACATGTCAGAAATTTTGGTCGGCCGACAAATTCTTTCGCACAGTGGTAGCAGAGCCCCGAGCCGACCGAAGCATTTCTCCTTCAGTGCGCCTGCGCAAAGTGATAGTAACCATGGCGAGGCGTCGGTGGCATGAAGATATGGAGGCGAGATTGATAGAGCTGTTGCACTGTCCACAATAAACAATAAATAATAAATAAACAATAAACGTACTGTCCACATTTATTGAGCCATCTCCGACTCCAGATGCGCCGGCGCCTCTTCTTTTTTGAATTGTCAACGCACAGTATCGCAGCAATCATAATGGTAGCCTTTTTCTTCCAGCGTCGGAGCTTTCAAATAAATCTTGATTGACAGCTGTCAATAGACAGGACAGTCAGCAGGGGCCGACGGGCCGTTTTCACCCGCACAGTGTGAGCTCTCTGGTCATGTTCGATGATCGGACCGTACAGTGTGAAGACATAAATCGTGAGTTTTGTCCGTACATCACTCGTACAGTGTGTGATGGTATCAACCACCACATTTTCAAAAATCGTAGTGTATGCCCGCCCTTACACACAGAACTCAATCACAAGGATGTTGCTAAAACTTTCTACAGCCAAAATAATACAGTGAGTATAAAAAAAGAGACAGTCAAAAAATGTAAAAGCCCAGTGCAATGGAATAAAAAGTAGTTACCCAAGAGTCAACACTAAGGGGCTGACTTGTAAAAAAGTGTACATAAACACAACCTATCCTTTTGAGAGACTCTGACTCTAAGACAAGACAGTGAGTCAGATGTTACATGATGTAACACGAAACCACAAACAAGTAGATACAAAACGTTAAGATTTATTGGACTTGAAAATAGCATTAAATTCCACTTAAACATTCAATATAAGTAAATATACCTACAACGTTACAATGAAGATGTCACCAACCACATATAAAACCATGGACACAGTGGATCAGTTCATATATATGTATGCATGTATATCCGCGCGCACACACAAACACACACACACACACATATACATATATATATATATATATAAAAGCAGCTCAACAGCTAAAACATAACAACACCGAAGAGGGATCTTCAGTCATAACATAAAGAACAAAGTTCATGCACACAAGAATTCTGTTAGTTGTTTAAATCGCTGTTCGTTTAGAGAAGGTGGAGTAGCCCCTACTCCAGAGCCTTCAGCCCATTCTTTGCCTTGAAGAAAAATGATCAAGATATGACCCAGGGTGTTTCAGAGCCCTGTTGTGATATTTTTTAGGCATGTTAAAGAAATAAAAAAAGGACCAGGCAAATATCTCAGAATTCCCCTTGGCCACACCACGGAGGAAGAATGGAAAGAAGCATTAGCACCACAAGGTAGACAGCCTGAGGGTGTCTTGTCTTCCTGGCACATGCACAGTTCTTCAATCCAGTATAACCTTCTGCTTCCACTGTGAAAGCAAATAATCTGACAGACCAACAGTCAGACACTGCCTTTTTTATTTCTACTGTCTGTTTAACATGAACATTAAATGGCAGCAGAACAACAAAAAATGTCTGGCCTTTCTTTTCAATTGAAGGAGGGATAGTTGGGAACTAAACAGCAGGACTCCACTAACGTTATTTCAAATGTAGGCACTCGTGGCTTTTGAACAGTGCAGAGTGATTGAAGTTGACAGAGAAAAAATGAGTGGTTTTTTTTTCTTAGTTTAAACAAACAGATTTGACAGACATCCACAGAAATTTTACCTGTTCCCTTAAAAAATGACTTGCATGGTTATAAAGTGGTTAGCTCAATATCACAAAAAGACATGTTAAAAAGAAATTGAAAGAAGCCATATGGATGCAAAAATTAGACTAAGGAAGTTGACACTTAATAGTGTTTCCAAAGCTTTATACGGATATGAAACACAAATGAGCAACTCATGGTCTCAAAACCTTCAGAACTCTATCTACAGCATCTGATAACCATGTTTGGTTATTATGATTTACCAATCTCAAGGCCCGTAGATTAGTCTTTTGTGTCCAATTGGCAACTTCAGTTTCTAATACAAGATCACAATTGGGAACAATGGCAGAGATTTTTCTATTAATGAAGCATCAACAACATAGTTTTGAAAAGTCCAGTCTTTGGTGCCTGATGTTGTAGAAAACGAAAAGAATCACAAAAGTAAAAACCACATACTTGTTTGGCTGACAAAAAACAAAAGGTCTAATTAACTAGATGCAGCTGCTGACCATAAGGAGAAATATTTTGTCCTATTAGTGTCTTTTAGCATTTCTGGTATATGTGTATGAAATAATAATAATAAAAAAAGAGTGAACAACATTGTGTACCCCATTACACAGGCAACACTTAGACGCTGTAAATTCTAGGTTGTGTTTCAGGCGTTCCTACTTTCAGCACAGGAGCAACTGTCTGGTTAAGCAGTGTGCTTTGCTGAATGCACTGCACCCGTGGTGGTAGCAAAAACTCTTTTTTGAAAAACATGTTTTAAGTAATGTAGAGGGCTGCAGTTTACTACTGTTCAAAATATTAAAGTAAGTAAACCATTATGCAAGAATGAAAAAAACTGACATATTTTGTCTGACCAATAGCACTTATTAGTTAGTTTTCTTGCTAACTGCAAAAGGACAACAAAAATCAGTGCCTTTATTGATTGTAATGGAGGGATACTGTTGCTAAGCTGCACTAACAGCACCCTCTGCAGAATAAACCCAGACTCAACAACTTTAGACCTCCTGATGCTTCTTAAAAACTTTTTAAACTCAAACTTTAACTTTAACCCCTAATTCTTCTCAAATGACAAAAAGTGACAGTCCTGTTCGGCATTATTTCCAATTGCATCAGAATACGAACATGAACAATAGACATAGTTTTAAACAAAGGAGTGTTTCAGAACAGAACAAACAATACACACCTATCATGTGAAGTATGGCTATACACAGAACCTTCATTTCACACTCCCAAGTCTTTGTGATTTGTGTGTTTCAGCCTCTTACTCTTGCCTCTGACTCTGTTTGACCACTGCCCCTGAGATGGACCAACTGTATTCACACCAGGCGGATCTTAAGATCCTTAGATTTAATGAATATAGATGCATCAAGCATTCAAAGCCCTTCATTACACAGTCTATGCTGCTATTATTAACACGACTCCATTAGTACTTAAATCTAAAAGATTCTGTACTTCAAATATCTCTATGTACCTTGTGAATATTTATATATTAGAATAAAAGAAAGTAAAATAAAATCACAGCATGGATGCAGTCTGCCTGAATATACTCCTGAGGATATTTTCATTAGAACTGCACAGTAATTAGGGTCTCTCTTTGCTTGCATATACATTATCAGTTAAATTATTATGCTGCAGATAGAGCGGACATTTACACCCTCTTTTTTTGGAGTGACTTTAGTGATACCCAGAAAGCCTGAGGAGCATGTTTGAAGAAAGCGAAGAGACTGAGATGTAATTGGTCTGCAGAGCTGAGGGCAACAGCCTGGAGGCACAAGGTGCTGATAAATGACAAGTCCCAGTTCAGTGACCCATAAAGAGACACTTGTTTTACTGTAGCCTGTGGTGGGGGCCCTTCCCTGAAAGGGACAGTCAAATCTGATCTCTTCAAATCTTTTTTTTTTTTTCTTCCTTTTTTTGTTAGATGGGAGTGTTGAAGGGAGTGAGCACAAATCTGCAGCGATTATTGGAGATCCGCTTCAGCTGATCTTGACTCGACCAGCCAGTCCCAGGTCTTCCCTCTTCTGTTGTGATTAGTCATAATCCTAAGAAGGCAAAGGCCTGACGGAAACTCAGTTGTTGTCAAAAGAGTCCAAGTGGTAAAAAGTCTACCACATGCAGTGCGTCCTGTGAGTGAAAACTGCTTTGTTTTATTGCAGTATGAAGCCAGGCTGTGGGGCAATGCGTGCTGGGGGCCTCTGTGGAACAGAAGGGGGATACTGGGGCAGGAAATGGCTGGGATAACCAGAGGAGACACCAGGGAAGGGCTGGCCTGTTCTGGGTGGAATGGGTGGATAAGGTGATACTGTATAGAAGACAGATGACTGAGAGGCAGTGGTGGAGGATGGGTTTGAATTTAGAATCGGGGCTGGCTGGGATGGAGGAGGTGGTGGTTTTCTTCTGGGCTGGGGAACAGGAGAGGAACCGTTGATAGAGTTGTTCAGGAGGGAGGCTGATGCGGACACGTCCTGCGATCGGGAAGTGGGGGCAGACACCTGGGGCATTGTCTGGCCCTTCAGCACCACCTCCTGAAGTTTTTCAATTTTCACTCTTCTCAAGTGAGCCAGTTTTCTTTGACTCTGATAGGCGTCGATGAAGGCCTCCAGTGTCATGTCCCCATCCAGGAATGAATCAGCCATATTCTGTTGACAGATAAAAGAGTGAAAAGTTTCAGATGTTAATACCATCCAAGGAAATTAAGATGAACCCAAGCACTGAATTTTATTAACCTCAGAGGGGGTAAATATTTTAAGTATTACTTAAACTGTTACCAAACTGATTTTGTTTTATTTAGACCTAATTTAATTCTAGTTTCATTGTTTTCACAAAAAACAATCCTCTAATAATTTATGTTACCAAAAGTTCCCATAGTGATGCCAATTCACATATTCTGGCAGCACTTTTTATTCTTCAAAGTCTACATGTTAGTGGTGTGCGATACTGCATTGTACTGGGCCAGTATCGCAGACACTAATACTGATCCGATACTTTTCAATAAATAAGGTGGATGCGTCATTGAATTGCTAAATCTCAATTAATTTTCATGACCTTTCATGACCTCATGAAGTGATTTTTGTGATGTTTCCTTTTTTATTATAAAATAGTTGAAGGTTACCACTGAGGTGCTCTGAGCATGACACCGTCCCCCCACACTGCTCCCTGGGCGTCAAATCTGCCCCCTGTTCACTTTGGTGATGGGTTAAAAGCAGAGGTCACATTTGGTTGTGTGCTGTGTCACAATGACAAGGAGTTTACTTTCTTTCTCTTCTCTCCATTTTTGGAGCTCCATGTTTTCTTTTGGATGGTTTTTTATATGTTTATATAAATTGGTAGTGTTTCCACTGTACCTGACTAGCATTTTACAAATCCCACATTTAGCTGTTGTCTCGTTTTCGGCCACACGGCGCTCCTCTTCCTCTCTGCCATTCTTCTATTATATTTTCTCTGTGCGTGTGCTGACGAACCTGAGCCAGCAACTTGCTTGTTTGTTTGTTTGTGCGTCTAAGTCACGTCACGTGACTCCCTCCTAAGATTTCAGTTATGCTCACTATTATTCTCCTTATCATCTTTGTCAAAGCATGTAATACATAATTAAAAACAAACAACAATTCACAAACAAAAAATTCACAATTCATACTTGATACTCTTGAAAGATTTATAGTGTGGTTGGCTGAGTGGACAGGTAGCCTCTACATCCGTCTGTCTCTCCTGCTGCTCACAGGCTTCAAAGAAAGACTAATATAAATGCTGTAGTAGTGAAATACCGAGGCCATACAGCATACATAGTTTCCATACAGCTGGTTTCACTGGAGAAAATCTTACCTCTGTCTCCTCCTCTATCTTAGCTCCTTCAGTCTGCAGCAGGGCCAGTAGTGTGTCCAGAGAGGTGTTTCCTGACGTGTGATCTGTTCAAAGAGACAAGAAAAACATAAAATTATGACTAAAAAATGAAATATATTTTCATGCTCCTTAATATATACATTTATGTTACTGCACTCACAACAGTGTGGTAGGTGAGTTCAAGTCAACAAAGTACAGTTCTATTTTAATGCCAACTTAATGCCCAGTGTCCAGGAAAAAAGACTTGGTGTCACTGACACAAAAGGTCATGACCTGGCAGTCATCTCCTCCACAATTCACACCACATAACAGAACATCTCTGGTTACACATTATTGTGATTTCATTTTGATGACTCTCTGCTATACACACTAACCCAGTCTACACGTTCCAAACAAGACAACTAAACAGTTGACCTGAGTTTATCATTGGTCAACAATGTCACAAATTAAGGTTAGTAGGGAATGTCCTAACAGTGTACAAATTACAGTATAACAGTATAGATTATATCTAAACTATAGAATCTGGCCTTACATGAAGCTAATTTGGCCAACATCATTTAAGGATGTTTTTGTTAAGATACATTTTTTCGATACTTCATAAGGTTCTAGTTCTGAAAAAGTTATATGATGTACTGTGCCAGGAATGAGAAGCGATGGAGCAGTAAAGTATTTTACTACCAAAACAATTATTAGTCATGATCATAAGGGAATCCATTGTGTCTTCAATAACATACATTTCCAATGATGTAACTGTGTCTGTCAACACTACATTCTTAGTCACAGGTTGGACTGTGGTCACTGCCGAGACAGCTGATGTCACTAACTGCCCTCTGTGGATTTTATCTGGGTAAAGAACACTCATTGGGCCCAAGAAGTGATGTGATGAGAGTGTAAAAAGGCCAACAGCATAATACAAGAACTAAGAACAATAAATTATGTTACTACAGATGCACTAAACAACCAGCAAGTATCAGTGATACAAACACTGTCCTTTAACCCTCTGTTACATCAAGTACAAGTTGTGTTTCCTCAACATTAAAAATGTTGGGAACTTTACACGCCCGACTGCAATTAATACCAGTGATAACACCAACTAAGTATTCAGGTAGCGATGCTAGAGTTTCACACACTTTTATAACCCTGGTGCAACACTTCCAGCTCATTCTGGTTTTCTCTTACAGTAGAAAAGGAGTGTATTTTGAAATCTAATCTCTGATTTAAGGACACCAGTTCTTCAACATACCAAAGTCACTTAATAAAGGGCCCAAACGTCAAGTTTTTGGAGAATAGGCTTAAGAAGACACTTGTGCCCATTATGGGTTATCAGCTCTAGTGGTTCCTAAAGGAGGCGGCAGTGCAATTGATTCTTTAGGAGTCAGATCTGGTTTACTTATTTATATGTACAATGTCTTTTGGAGAGATTGTAATTCTGTGGCCAACTTGTGTGCAAACTACAGCCATCATTAACCAGTCAAACAGTACCACTCAGCTACAGGGACTGATTACAGCTTGCCCAGCAGTGTCTCTATGTGTGTCTCAAAGGTGTTTAACTAAACACATTACTTCAATACAAGATCAACATTTTGATAGTAGGGTAGTTCAGGTGCGTTGAAAGGTTGTTTTTTGCCCAACTCACACACTCACACTGGAACTGTTTTTAACCTAATCTGTACTTTCAAGTGTGATCACATTTAGTCAATTTGGCATCACCTTGTATTAAAAGAGAGACAATTACTGCTAATCTGACGTATGCAGGAAACATTTAATGTTGTATTTATTCAAGTTGTATCTAGCAGGGATTGCTTGAGCCTATACCCAGGATCAGTATAAGTCCAATATTGGATGTCAGACATGAAAAAGTGGTATCAGGCTATACCTAATAGCTGGCAAACTCGCAGACTTCATGTGAAGCATTATTATTCCTTCTCTCTCTCCTCCACCACCCACAACTAAGTATGTGCACACAAGGTGGGGGGAGGGAAACACCGGATAACCTACATTTGATGAAAGCCACTGATTGTTGAACAGAAACAACAGCAGACTGCTGCATCATCTTCACAGAATTTAAAAATAGAGACTCTGAATCTCACCATTCCACTTCTAACCGCAAAGAGTATCCTGAATGACTCAAATGAGAAGGAAACAGGCTACTGACTGTGTGTGTGTGCGCACGTGCACAGTATGGTACAGTGTGGTAGAATGAGTATTTATCTCCAGACTAACTTAATTTTATTTTCTGATTACCACTTTTACAATTTATTAAACTTTAATGTCTGACATGCAAGAGTTAAACACCTTCGACACAACATGCCCCACATGGCAAAGGAAATAGATATACATGATTGCTCACTACCTGCTGTGTTTTTACAAAAACCTAGGTTGACGTTGTGCAAAGGTGTTGACTTACATACATACAGACTTGATGTTATGGTTAATGTAGATATTTTAAGAAAATTAGCTTCATGACTGCTGATTTATTACCCTGGTTGTTTTTATTCCTTTGTGTTATTTGTGTTAGTCATACAACTATAGATGGTAAAAATGGCTTCACACCTTCTGACACTTCATGTCATGGCAGCTTTTTAAAGTTTCTTAGTTTATTTTTCATTATAAATTTAGTACCATGCTAAAACTGTCTGTGTGAGAACAGTGATTATATAACATTATCTGTGGGAGTGCACTTCACTTCAACAATAATTACTGATGTGTCAGTGACGTCTGCATCCGTTTGTGTTTTTCCACTTTGTTTGTTCTCCTTCTCTGTTAACACATGCTGCAGGGACCTGTTTCACCAGTTCCCCCATTTTCCACTTACTGTAAAACCATGTTACCGGACGCCCTGCTGCTGTCATCAATGATCTGCTGCAGCAGGACTTATAGGCTCTGAACTCTTTTCAGGTTTATAAAGTTCAAGATTTGATTTACATCTACAATCTTTATACCTGTGGGATACAGAGCTGTAATATCCCTCTGTGACACACCTTCACTCAATTTCCTACTGTGAAGTAGAAACAAAGTGACGAAACTTGAGTGTGTTGACGCAGTGGTTACCAAGCAACGAGCTGCTTCAAAATAGCCTGTCAGCCATTCGCTACGCAGCAGAACTGATAAAACCTGAACTTTTTAAAGGTTCTCTTTTAGTAGCTCAATAGTCACACTCTTTTGCACCTCTGTTGTTTGTGCATTTTGGCATTAACAAATGACAATTCATACACTTAATAATTGTTATAAAATCATTATAAAAACCTTGTATGTAAAATAAAAATGGACTTCAGCCTGTCTTTAAAATCAATTTACAGCCTTTGGAAAATTAGGCTCATGGTGGAAGACTTTGGCCGATTACAGGACACTTGGAAGAAGGTCAATGCTTAAGTGGTTATAATGGTTGTGTAAAATGCCTCTTTTATGAAAATTGCCCCATGAGAAGTTTGTCCTGTGTACACATTATTGCGTGTTACAGTCAGTGCTTTTATGGATTAATGATTGTAATTATGCAAGGGCAGTGAATCATTAAAAATGTAAGCAACTTGAGATAAATTACCAGACTTTAAGTTGCTCTTCAGTATAAGTCCCAAAGCCAACCAAAACAGAAAAAAGTGTGACTTATAGTCTGGAATATACGGTAATCACAAAAGAAATAAAGCCCTGTTGGCTCTGTTGCTGTACCGAAGGAGGATTTACGTAGCTGATAGGACTCAAAGCTCTCCTGAAGACAAGTGTAGCGCTTTGTGAGCTGCTCCTTCTTGTGCTCCAGTTCAGGTTGCAGGTCCAGGTTCTGCTCAGCCAGGGTTCGGTTGTTGGCCAGAGTTTTCTCTTTGCTCTGCTGGACATCCTGCATCTGCAAGAAATATAAAAATAACTTCTGTTTACCAAGTAAACCATAGATTTTATGTGATATTTTATTGCTTTTTGTGTGTTTAACTTTATTAATTACACCTATATGCATTGGCGTATGGGGATTGCATCATTGTTATTACGAGAGACCAAAAGGACAAGTATAATTTTCAGTGTTATAATACATTTTTTTATTAAGTCATACTTGTATGTTACAAATGTGACTGGTATTTCCTTCTACAAAGAATATTACTTACTAAAAGCAAACAAATCGACACTGACGGGGTGTAATTGGAAGTTCAAATTTAAACAATGTAAAAGTAAGAAAATTAGATAGGAACAGTGTATACATTATGGCTGAAATTAGATATTTCACACAACCAACCAACACATTTCAAGTATAAATAGTTTAAAAAAAAGCCAGCAAAAGTGGGGAAATGCTAAAAATATAGTATAACATTATGTCTAATCATAGAATGTTTTGACCAAGGCACTCATCATGTGGTATGACTGCAGACTGCATGGGAAAAACATCATCATCCACTTATGTTACCATAACACTTATAGCCATTATATCCTGTGGTGACCTTACGGCAATACCAGGTGAGCCCATTTGATGTATGCCCAAATACTGTCATCCATAGCTGCAAGCGAATTATACCAAACACAATTGTCTGCAGCTGGGCGGTAATGACCTCCAGTGTTCCACAATCTCTATAAACGACAGAAATAATCAGAAGAATGCAGGTTATGAGCTAGGACCACAGACCTGCAGATCTGGAAATCTGGGCCAGTAAACCACAATTAGACTCAGGTCCTTATAAACTGTATCCACAGGAGGTTTGAAGGGAAACTGTTATTAAAAGAAGAAAACCTGAAAATGTAGGCAAAGGCAACTCAGACTTGATTCTTAATATATGATAGAGGAGCTGGTTAGACCATAAGGTAGTTAATTTAAAGAAGTCTCAATCAATATGATTAAGTCATTAAGTCGTTTTGAAATTGTGTCAAGTGCAAACACAAGACAACAGAGGGATACATTTGTACATGAATAACTTTTTATATTATTTCATAATGTTTAGTTTGATGCGAGGTAAAGACTACATAATGTACACTCTTCTACTGATAGAAATGATAACAAGCAGCTTTGTGTGTTAGCATCAGAGTAAAAAAACTAAAAACTTTTGAGAGGACATAGGGTACTAAGTGTGGATGCCTCAACAATTCAGCTGAATTATTTTGTACTGACTGAAGTGTTGAAACCAGTCTTATCATTTTGTTTTTTGATTTAAAAACTTCCATCCATCCATCCATCTTCAACCGCTTATCCGGGGCCGGGTGGCGGGGGCAACAGTCTGAGCAGGGACACCCAGACTTCCCTCTCCCTCGACCCTTCCTCCAGCTCTTCTGGGGGGACCCCAAGGCGTTCCCAGGCCAGCCGAGCAACGTAGTCGCTCCAGCGTATCCTGGGTCTTCCACTAGGTCTCCTCCCAGAGGGACGGCACCCGAGCACCTCCCGAGGGAGGCGTCCAGGGGCATGCGATGTAAATGCCCAAGCCACCTCAGCTGACTCCTCTCTATGTGGAGGAGCAGCGGCTCTACTTCGAGCTCCTCCCAGGTGACAGAGCTCCTCACCCTATCTCTAAGGGAGCGCTCTGCCACCCTGCGTAGAAAGCTCATTTCGGCCGCTTGTATCTGGGATCCTGTTCTTTCGGTCATGACCCAAAGCTCATGACCATAGGTGAGGGTAGGAACGTAGGTTGACCGGTAAATCGAGAGCTTTACCTTTCAGCTCAGCTACTTCTTCACCACAACGGACCAATACAGCGACCGCTGTAAACAATCCGCCTGTCAATCTTACATTGTCATCCCAGCAGCTTCACACTCGGCTGCGAACTGCCCCAGTGCATGATGCATGTCCTGGCTCAAAGAAGCCAACAAGACAACATCATCTACAAAAAGCAGAGATGAGATCCAGTGGCTCCCGAACTGGACCCCGCCCGACACCTGGCTGCCCCTAGAAATCCTGTCCATAAAGATAATGAACAGAACCAGTGACAAAGGGCAGCCCTGCCGTAGTCCAACATGCACCGGGAACAGGTCCGACTTCCGACTGCCGGCAATGCGAACCAAGCTCCTGCTGCGGTCGTACAGGGACCGGACAGCCCTTAGAAGAGGGCCTCCGATCCCATAGTCACACAAGGGACACTGTCGAAAAGCCTTTTCCAAGTCCACAAAAACACATTTGGACCAGTTGGACAAACTCCCATGAACCCCCAAGCACCCTTGGAGGGTATAGAGCTGGTCCAGCGTTCCATGACCAACAAAACGAAAACCGCATTGTTCCTCTTGGATCCGAGGTTCGACTATCGGCCGGATTCTCCTCTCCAGTACCCTGGAATAGACTTTTCCCGGACTACCCGAGCCGCAGTTCACTTGGCCTGCCTGTACCTGTCAGCTGCCTCAGGAGTCCCCCGAACCAACCAGGCTCAGTAGGACTCCTTCTTCAACTTGATGGCATCCCTTACCTCCAGTGTCCACCACCGGGTTCGGGGGTTGCCGCCACAACAGGCACATGAGACCTTACAGCCGCAGCTTCGGACAGCCGCGTCAACAACTGAAGTAAAGAACATAGTCCACTCAGACTCAATGTCTCCAGCCTCCCTCAGGATCTGTTCAAAGCTCTCCCGGAGGTGGAAGTTGAAGGCCACCCTCATTGGGGATTCATTGGGGACGATCCCAACAGACCCTTATGATACATTTGGGTCTGCCATGTCTATCCAGCTTTGCCCCCGTAAGCGCAGCCAACTCACCACCAGGTGATGATCAGTTGACAACTGAGCCCCACTTTTCACCCGTGTCCGATACATACGGCCGAATGTCAGATGACACGACTACAAAGTCGATCATTGACCTATGGCCTAGGGTGTCCTGGTGCCAAGTGCACTGATGGACACCCTTATGCTTGAACATGGTGTTCGTTATAGACAAACCGTGACTAGCACAGAAGTCCAATAACAAAACACCACTCGGATTCAGATCGGGGAGGCCGTTCCTCCTGATCACGCCCCTCCAGGTGTCACTGTCGTTACCCAAGTGAGCGTTGAAGTTCCCCAACAGGAAGATGGATTCCCTGAGAGGATGTCTGCAAGTGTCTGCAAGAAGGCCGGGTACGCTACACTGTTATTCGGCCCGCAGGCCGAAACAACAGTGAGCCACCTATCTCTGACCCGAAGGGCAGGGAAGCGACCCTCTCGCTCAGTTGGAAAACTCCAACACACAACTGACGAGCTAAGGAGCTATACGCAAGCCTACACCAGCACGCCACCTTTCAGGGCGAGACCCGGCAGAGACCCGGCCACCAGACGCTTGCCTGCGAGCCCCAACCCTGGGCCTGGCTCCAGGGTGGGGCCCTGGTAACGGCAATCTGGACGACATGAGCTTCTTAGTTCTTATTGTTGCCA